TTTAAATTTGTCATTATGTTTGTTCCTGGAGCACTTTGATTCATGAAAATTCACCATCAGGAACTGTAGCATTTTTACGTAAATCTCTCTCTATCTTTTTAGTACGTTTTAGCTGTTGCCATCGAGTTACGCTCTTTGCTATATAATTTTACTCACTCAGTATTGTGGATCTCTTCTAAGAAGCATAGTTTGGTTGTTTTTTCATTGATTGAGTTGGAAAAACCATGTTATGTGCATTATGTGAAATCGTATTCAGGTTTTTCTTGTATAGGTTAATGTAGGATTCCTCATGGAACTTGTTTCTGTGTATGTAATTTCAGATATGACGGTCAGCGTGCCCAAATTCACAGAATGTCAAATGGCACTGTGCGTATCTATTCACGAAATGGGGACGAAACAACTTCAAGATTTCCCGATTTGATCAAGATAATTGAAGAATCTTGTGAACCCACTGCAGTGACTTTCATAGTGGATGCAGAGGTTATATAAACCTATAAGGGAAAGTTGTTTAGTTCTTTGGGAATTTTATTTAATTATTATGGTTCAGCTTACACTACTTTAGTAAATTATTGTTCCTGAACTGGACAAATCAGATTGGGTCTAAAGTTAGCATTGCCTTATGGATCAGGTAGTTGCAGTTGATAGAAAGAATGGTTGCAAGCTCATGTCCTTTCAAGAGCTATCTTCAAGGGAGAGAGGGAGCAAAGATTCTTCCATAACCCTGAATAATATAAAGGTTTGATCTATTGCCAATGACAATATATCTAATGCATTGTATGTGTGATGATGTAATTGCTGAGACTAGATGTAAATTGGGAACAAGTACACTTCGCAATGCTAGCCACTAGGTGGTTATAGTGTGTCTGTGTGTGGGAATAAGCTTAATGTCTTCTTAAAGTGATGGAAGATGTTTGTGTAAGCCCGGTGCTGGTGAATGAATAATTAGTGTGCTCGAAGAGCTGAGACAGCAAGGAGAGGATGGTAACGTAATTAAGTGTTGGGGTTTAATTGCCTCATATTTTACTTCATGTAACATCATTTTCCTTTTTCTTCTTGATGTGATATGATCTATGCCTTTTCAGTGATGGTAATAACTATTCTGATTTTTGTATTTTCTCTGATGTTTCTGCTGCATGCAGGTTGATATATGCGTGTTTGTCTTTGATATCATGTTTGCTAATGGAGAACTGTAATTTCTCGAACCTTTTCATGGAATTTATTTACATATGTGCCAATTTCTAAGCTAACCAGCTAAATTCTTGCCAAAGTTGGATTTGAGATCACTTATGGCTTTGCAGAAGTATTAACCAATCTGGTTACCTAAATAATTTACTCTGCTAGTTGCATCTTGTTGCTAGCTCTAACTAGCTTGATATTAAGGCTTCGTTGAATTGAGATTCCTTTGCCTGTGCTATAGGTGAGAGGATATTTATTAAGATTATCAGATAAACTAGATACAGCTTACGTGTAATAGTTGTTCTCAAAATCATTAATGTAAGAAGTTTGTTGATCTCTCAAATTAAATATTTCAGACTAGTTCAAATTTGGTCAATCATTGTGACTCTTAGTCTGACAACAGGGTTCGGAGCATTCTGTTCTGTTTTTTTTTTTTTTTTTTTTTGAATACCGAATCAGTTATGAAAATGCTTTCATAGTGAGTGGTAACCAACTGTTAAGAATCAATCAAGCCATACAGATTAAGTAGGCTTCCAGAACTTGATTGCTATTTGAACTGATAAGTCTTCTGTTGCAGGTTGTTGAAGCTTCCTCTCCGCCAAAGACGAAAATGTATGCATTTTCTTGTCCTTTGACAATGTATTCTTTTCTTTGATTTTACTGGATAATAACTTCTTTTCCCTGCAAGTGTTGCGTGTTTCAATTCTAACCCTTCTTCTGTAATATCACAGATTTGAAAGACTTGTTTTGTGTTGAGAGATTAGGTTGTTTTGAATATGCAAAGGAGATGACGGTAACTGCTGTAATATTACCAGTTCACATAATCAGTCATCTCCTTTCCAGTATTTTAAATAGCTTTTTGCTTTGTAGGTTGAAGCACAGGATGCTTGTTTGACTAATGAAGCAACTTTGAACAAGATGAAATCTTTCCTTGAAGATGCTTTGCGGTCCTCATGTGAAGGGATTATGGTGAAAACTCTAGATGCTGATGCTGGATATTGTCCATCAAAACGTACTGACACATGGTTAAAGGTTTGATGTTTTATGGATTATTTATTTATTTATTTGGTTAATTTACTAAATAAAAAATAAAAGGATGATTAGTCACTGGTTGGACGGATGTCTCTTTTGCAGGTCAAGAAGGATTATGTTGAAGGACTGAATGATTCTCTTGATTTAGTTCCGATTGGTGCTTGGCATGGAAATGGGAGAAAAGCAGGATGGTAGGAGCCTTTTCTTTTTCCTCCCCTTTCATACCAGGGTTGCCTGGAAGCTTCTCGTGTCATATTTTCTTTTACCTTTTCTTTCTCATGATATAAATACACCCAAGACCTAAATTTTAGTTATTTTGCTGTTATTGATAAACCGCAATGAAATCATTTTAGACAAGTTGGAGATTGGGACCTGTACTACAGCACTCAAGTTTCAAGAAAAAGAAAGAAAGAAAAGTCTTAACGTGCTATAATGTCCTTTTTAATTCCATTCACTTGCTAAGTATTTTGTATTTGAATCCATGACAAGTCAAAGTACTGGGCGCTACCCTTGATTAGCTAAACTTTTATTATGTTGCAGGTATAGTCCATTCCTCATGGCATGTTACAACCCTGAGACTGAGGAATTCCAAAGTGTATGTCGTGTCATGTCTGGGTTCTCAGATGCTTTTTATACAGAGGTAAATAGATTTAATGATTCTTGTTGTAGTTGAGGAAGTCTGCATTTCAGCATTTGGGCATGCTATCAAGGATATGGTGGATTTAAACAGAATTGTTTTCTGTTTCAAATTTCTACCCGAAGAAGATAATTAGTTTTGAACATTAGGGGGGTGCCTTCTGATCTTAAAGAAATCTTGAGCATATTGACATAAATATACCTTCTGATCTTAACGAAATCTTGAGCATATTGACATAAATGTACTTTCTTCCCAGATATTTCATTACGAACTAGAGAACGGTGGTGGCGTTGTGCATATTTCAGTTGGACATTTATATCTTCATAAGGAGAGTATTGCTATTTATACATATGGCCATTTCAGCTTGTGTCATGTGGATTTTTTGGATCAGTAACGGAATAAGTGGACCTTAAAATGCAATTCTTAAAAGCAAAATAAAAAATAAAAAATAAAAATAAAATAAATAAGAAAGTAAAAGAATACAATTATTGCACATGTAAAATTTAAGAGAATGCATTTCTTGTGCTTGAATGAGTAGTCTGTATTTAGGATTGGTGGTTTTTGATAATGATTTGGCTTACTCTCTAGAGTCTATCATGCTAATTCTACAAGATAACAATTGAGTTGCAGATGAAAGAATTCTTCTCTGGAGATAGGATCTTAGCCAAAAAGCCGCCATACTATCGAACTGCAGAGGTGCCGGATATGTGGTTTTTGCCAGAACTTGTTTGGGAAATCAGAGGTGCAGACTTTACAATTTCACCTGTTCATCAGGCTGCTGTAGGTTTAGTTCATCAATCTCGTGGCATCTCAATCAGATTTCCAAGATTTATTCACTCCGTATCGGATAGAAATCCAGAGGAGTGTAGCACAGCAGCAGATATAGCTGATTTGTTTAATTCTCAAACACGGAAAATGGATGTGACAGCTGAAAGATGATTATTAGTTTAGCAATCTTGCACATTAGCCCAGTTTTGTTGGTAAATGTTTTTTAGGTAATGTGTGAACAGGCCATTCCAACATCTTGTTTATAATATGATGCTTAGTTTCCAAAATTTGGATCTTTATTGATTGAATGCCTTCTCTTCTGTTGTGCATATTTCTTTCCTTGTTTCTCAAGTAGTAATTAACAGTATATACAGTAATTACTCTATCTCCATGTATTTACTTTTGAGGAGAAAGATATATATATATATATTCATTAAAAGTGATAAGAAAATTTTATATTTTTATATTTTTATTTTTTAATTCTCTTTTGTTTCTCGTTCTTTTTTTCCTCTCTTTATGAAATGAATCCATAAAATAATTAATATTTATATCATTAGTTATTTTTTTAATATTATAAAATTTCGCTTCCATCACCATAATCTCACCCTTCCCTTTAACAGACAAGGTAGTTATGAAGCTTTAATGCTCGAGTCAAGGCCAATACTGTTTATTAAATTAATATAAAATAATCAATTTATTAGATTTTAGGTTTCATTTGAATATTTATTATCCGAATGCTAATATATATACATGTATATGTGACTAAATTATAAATATTATATATGTGTGTGTAATTTTAATATTAAAGCGAATATAATATTTAGATGGGATTTCAAATTAAGTTTATCAGTATCCCCATGCCGTATTTATTATTATTATCTAACAGATAAAAAATCTGTATAATTTCCACTCTGTGCTTGCCCAGAAACGACACGTTAGAACTCAATTTTGAGGCAAAACCAGCACTTAATAAGTAAAAGAAAAAATGTATTTCCACCACAGCCCTAACAAATCGAGTCTCCCAAATCAATTCCCGCTTCCTCATTTCAATACTCCCTCTCAACTCTCCCGCCATTACCAAATCAATCACTTCCCTGTTAATTAAAAAACAAAAAAAACCTGAAACAAAACCGCAAAAATCAATTCCTTCAACAAAATTGTCACCTCCTCTCTTTTTTCTCCTTTTCAATTCCAGGCAACTCTAAAATCACAGGAAAAAAATATCATTTTCCCAAGACAAGTTTTTTCTTTGTTTTTGTTTTTGTGATATTAATTCTTGTATCTCTTTCTTTGATTTTGTAGTTACGGTTTTTTTTTTCTGGGGAGTTTAAATGAAGGTTTTAGAACCTTAGGGTTTTGTTTTATTTTGACAGAAAGACGATAGAGAATGAGTGCAGTGAATATTACTAACGTTACAGTGCTAGATAATCCGGCGCCGTTTTTGTCTCCATTTCAGTTCGAGATCTCTTATGAGTGCTTGACTCCTCTTAAAGACGGTACCTCTCTCTCTCTCTCTCTCTCTCTCCCCCTCCCTCTCCCTCTCAAAGCGTTTTTATTTTCTTTGAATGTCTAGTGCTTTTGCTTTGATTTTTTAGATTATTTTTTAATTGAAGTTTGTGATTGTTGAGGAACCGAAACAAAATTGTTTGTGTGCTCAAGCTTTTGTGGATTCTGAACCGAAATTGAGATATGGGTTTTCATTTAAATCCTAAAAAAGGTTATTTTTATACCTTAAATAAGTTTTTTTTTCTTATTTAGGGATTTGGGGTCTGGTGTCATAAAGTTTGTTCGTTATATAATTTTACTGATTGTGCATGTGCGGTTAAGTAAATGGAGAGGTTGTAGGTTTTTTTTTCCTTGATAGCTAATGCTCATTTTAGTAAGAGAGTGTATTCTTGATGTGCCGCTGACCTGAATTTTTTGGTTGCTGGTGGGAATTAACTACTGCTCTTGTCTTCTAAGTTGGTGGAATTTCAGTTGTAAACCTGTCTTCTTGTAATTTTCATCCCTAGTTACGTTAGTTCTTGTTGTTAATAGAATGTAACCTAGTCAGAAAGCTGGCCAGCCAAATTTCAAAACATGTTTGTTGGCGTCTGTTGATTCTTTGAATGATAAAGTAATTATCCCACTCATTTGAATTTAACCTGTCATGATCTTTCAGGATATTGTATCGTGATCCCATGTAGTTAGAACCTATGTTTGTCATTGTGAGTGATGTTAACTTCAGGCTTCTTTCTGAAATATTCTGTGCATGAGTGCATCATTGTTGCTAGGCAGAATCGGCCTTCAACGTCCTTCAATTAATTGCATAGTGTTTCACTTTTGTATTATTGTGGCATTTTCATAGCATACGCTTGCCTTTGCATCGTAACATAAACATTTTCTATGTTCTTTGATTGTGAAGGTCGTACAAGGGCCTTAAGTAATTGTTAGTATAATATTTTTTTTATGTATCTTGTAATGTGAATGCCCAATATGATGTGGGAACTTAAATTGATTTTGTGGACCATTTGCACTCTATGATGCAGTTCCTTTTCTGCCCAAACTCTATGTGTCAGATTTGCAACTTTAGTTTGTCAATCTTATAAAAGAATGTTCTGTTTTGTTGTTTTGATGCAGATTTGGAATGGAAACTAATCTATGTGGGGTCTGCTGAGGATGAAACGTATGATCAACTATTGGAGAGTGTACTTGTTGGGCCTGTCAATGTTGGAAATTATCGTTTTGTCTTACAGGCAATTCTCTTTGAACCTTTGCTTAGCTTCTTTAAATAGAACTGTTATTTTGTTTGTGATTTGAATAAATTTTTATTCATGCTCTTGTATGTATGCTTTGCAGGCAGACCCACCAGACCCATCAAAGATTCGCGAAGAAGATATCATTGGTGTCACAGTACTTCTGTTGACATGCTCTTATTTAGGTCAGGAATTTGTTCGAGTTGGCTACTATGTGAACAATGATTATGAAGATGAGCAGCTTAGAGAGGAACCTCCACCTAAAGTGTTGATTGATAAGGTCCAAAGAAACATCCTTTCTGATAAACCCAGGGTTACAAAGTTCCCCATCAATTTTCATCCTGAAAATACTGAGGGCGCGGAGGAACCCCCTGTAAATGATCAACCTGCTGAAACTGATGGAAATGAAGAACCATTGCCTCCTTCTCCTCCTCGTTCTTCAGATAAAGAGGAACCTTAAATTTTTACAATCAGCATCAGCTCCTGGCCTCCCAAGGTTCTCATTCAGGTTCCATAAAATCGGTATCATTTTAGGTGATGCCTTTTGCCATATATATTGATGTGCGGCATGCGTAGAATTTTTTTAGCTAGAAAGCAAGGAAGTGGTGGTTGATATACTGGGCTTAACTGGCTGTTTTTTTTTTTTTTTAAACAGTTGTAGTGCTGAGTTGACTTATGTTGTATTCCAATTGTATGTTCTTAGTTTGTGATAAACTGACAGTTTGAATAGATGCATCACAGGTTCATCATTTTATGGCTAAAAGTGTAACCATTTTTGAATTATAAGTCATTTGAAATTAACACCAGTAACTTTTTCATTGGTTTTGGGAATCCATGAACTTTTAATTTTTTAAGATTAAATCCAATTTTTAGTTTTCTATCATTTATCTATTTATGTGGGGATTTTTTTTTAAAAAAAAAGGGGATTATTTTGGAATTATTTTCTTTTTTTATATTCATATTTTAAATGTTCAAAAAATAAGCAAATATATTTTTTATTTTGAAAAATTCTGAAAATTTTCTATAAAATGGATCAAGTTTTTTTAATGTATGTAAAAAATTTCAACTTAAACTACTAAAAATTAATTTTTTTTATAGGAGAAAATGATAACTGGCTTAATTTCTTAACTTATAAATTTTATGGATCCTAGAATTAATAAAAAAAAAAAGAAATTGGAATTCAATTTCAAATGATTTATGATTCAGGTGGTTAGACCATTTTAGTCACATTTTATTATCTCAATTTGCATTATGTGATTTCAACATTTAGCTTTGAAAGTGTTTCTTGGGGATGGATGCAGTGTTTGTGTTTTTCTGTAGTGCTGGGGAGTCATTTATTTGAAGTAGCAACCATGATGCCTCAAGGTGGTTGAGAGTTAGGGTTGATCTGTTTCCCAAGTGCACTACCTTCTCACATTTTCTCCATAGAGGTAGGTACGGATGCAGGTGCCGGTGCCAAAATAGGGTCCATACTCAAAGTAAAAAATAACTTGCTGTTAAATTCAATGCATTTAAATCAAGTTCCATTTGTTAGAAATAGAAGAGCATTGGTTATTAATAATATTTTCACAATTATTTTGATCATGATTGTTTTTTATTGTCATACAAAAAGTCACAGAGAATTGTTTACCCATTAGGCTAGCCACCAATTCCAAAAAATGATGCCTAAAAGGCTAAAACTTTGACAGGGCTTTTCAGCTTGGTTCTGATTCTTGGAGAACAGTTAAAATAGACATCAGAGCAAATACACTGTTGTTTATAGCACCCACTTGATTTCCCAGAAAAGCACATAGCTAAGCGAAAATTAACTGCTCTGCAGTTGATTTCCCAGAAAAGCACATAGTTAAGCAAAAATTCATTGCTCTCCAAACAAAACAGAGCCTGGCACAATTCCAAATCTTACAAACATAAAATTAATGGGACAAAGAAACATAAATAATTATCAACTGGCATTTATCATGCCAAGATTCAAAAAGAGTACAGTTTGGCACATGTTAGCAACTCTGCAGAAACGTGGATTGATTTTCTGCATCCCTGCCCCTCTGTTTTCAACTTGCAGCAAAGCAAACACGACAGAAAGATTCTTCACTTCGCATTTTTACGCCTTTTTTTCCGAGGACTTGTTGTTTTTGATGTTGTTTTCTCCATGGTTGCAGCATTACCCTCTCTCTGCAGTTAAAAATGAATTAGAAACAATCTCACACGGCAACTAAACTCAGACATGCACATGAAGGTAAACAAACAGACAATTTATACCCTCTTTTTTAATCTCTTCCTTTGCCGCTGCCGCCCTTTGTTTTTCTTTGTCGATAAACTCTATAAGATAAGTTAAAACTAGATTATCCACAGGAATATCTAACATTCAAGCCGATCCACTCATTTAGTTTCAAGAAGCAACCTGTGCAAGAGCTACAGTTCGAGCATGCCTCTCTGCATGTGTCTCCTCGTCCATGTTCTCAATTTCCCCATCACTGTTAAGCATTACCTTCAGCCTGTTTTCCTTCATTAATTTCTCAGATCGAGCATGTCTCTACAACCATAAACAGAACTTCACTAATTAATGGAAGGCTAAAGCCAAAATAACAGCTTTGAAAGTTCTCAACTCCATGCCAATCAATTTGAAAAGTAAAAGCAGTTATGGAAAATTATGCCCATGCCATCCATGTCATTTACTAACACCCAATCACCTTATAACTAGACAAAATAGTACTTTGAAGCAGCCAGTGATATTGAATGTTTCACAAGGAAAAATGATAGCAAATAATATATGTTTTATATCAACGACTGCTATTAGACATAAATGCTCTATAACCAATTTTCCAGAAAAATGGAAATTTTAAGGGGCGGAAATCAAAATGATAATATCTGAGAAAAATCAATAAAAAAGATATGATTATGCAGCCCATTAAAATTCATCAAACAGAGAATACAAAAGTGAAGGGTAGGAGGAGAAAAGGGAGCCACTTACATCTACAATGACATTGGAAAGATAAAAAGAACAGAACCAAATAATTTATTGGATTGAATAACTATTTCATATACAAGTTGCCTTATCAACTGGTAATGCTTCCTTATGCATTTGATTCCAAGTAGTGGTACATAGAATTGTAAACACAAAATTCATTTTCACAACGAAATAGAAACATGCCATGCCTTACCTTAGAACTAAGATGAGTCCTCATAGTCTCCTCAGTCAAACAGATAATTCGAGGGCAGATTCTGCACTTATAAACTGACTTGAACTTTAATACACAATCTGGAACATCATCTGGTACTGAATCCTTGTCAGCTCTGGCATTAGATTGTTTCTTGAATATTTTAACGCTGGTACGAGTTTTTCTGTCATCTCCTGTTTCATCATCTTCATTTATGCCATGCCATCATCATGTTAGATATCATAAAATAATAATCCAATTGTTAACTTGTCCATCACAATAAAAAATCAGACAGGATTAATTGGTTAGTAACCATCCGCAACCACTAAACATCATAGACCTGAACAAGGGCTCAAAATAACAGACAAAAGTTGCACACATAGTCAAAGTAAAATGGAAAAAGCATACTAGAAACAATATAGATAATCAACCTATGCTACCAATACTATGACAGTTCCAGTTATAACAAATATGACTTATTTGATCCCTCAAAAAAGCGTAGTAGACAATTATCCTCCAATATGGATATGACCTTCCTACATAAAAAATCTAATATCTCGATGCCATAAATGATAAAACCAAATCCTACCTGATGAATCACCATCAATCACATTCGCTGAGCTATCCTCGCTCTCATAACCTGCAACATGTCAATGAACATAAAAGAAAAGGAATACACCAATCAGCAACATACTAATCAAAAGGCAAACCAGTTTACTTGCAAAAAGAAATATCTTTTCAAGAACCAAGAAAATAAGTCAGCAAAGAAATTAAAATACATAATGGCATAAGAAGTAAAACATAATTTGATAGTAATAAACTATCAGAATGACTACTAAAAATCAACTATTTTCAATAAAGACCAAAACTTTTCAACAAATACCAACAACCTAACTCAGACCCACTAAGTCAAATAAAGTAAAACACAGAATTAACAACAAACCTGACGATGATGAAGCCTCTGATTCATTGCCCTCTTGTGGCTCAGCAACTGTTTCATCATCCTCTGATTCACTGTTTTCTTCTGGGTCAGCAACTACATCATCCTCTGATTGTTCAGTAGCCTCAGCTTCAGAATCCGAAGAGGAAGAAGATGATGACGAATCAGAGGAAGCTTCATCTTTCTCTCCATGTTCTGCTTTAAAAAATCTCCTCTTAATCATTTTTTTCTAAGGAGCAAGCAATTATGGTTAGTCAAGTTGAATTAAAGAGAATTGAGATAGTAAAAATAGAGTAAGAGCAGGGAAGGGGAGAGAGAGAGAGAGAGAGAGGCAAGCTTACATGGAACTGAGTGGCAAATAAGCGACGGCTTGCTTGCAAAGAGACCCAGGGTTTTGGGTTTAGCAGGCGGCAAGCGAGAGAGACAGAGAGGGAGGGAGAGAAGTTCGGGTTTGGTAAGAAACCCGGCCCAGTTCTGGTCACAGCCCTTTTTCAAAAAAAAATTATCTGCTTTATATATATATATATATTAAGAAAGGTAAGGGTACCCTACTTCTAGTTTTCCTTTCTTTTTCGTTTTTTCTTTAATGGACAAATTTGAAAAGCCTGTTGAATAAATTTCAAGTCAAAAGAGGCCATGAAATTATTGTGGTCATACTCAATGGTTAATTTGGCAAATATTTTTATTATATTCATAGTGATATTATATATTTTTAAAAAATGTGTGAAAAAATAATTTTTGCAAAAAATAATTTAAAAATATCATTATCATCAAATAAAAATTATAATACTATTTATATAATAATTTTAATAACTAATACATTGTAACTCAATTAATATTAGCTTTTCTCTTTTTTTAAGATATCTTAAAATCGAACCTTTCTAACGTATATAACCTTAATTTCTATTCATTCATCATTCCATGAACAACAAGAGAATTTGCCGATGTATAAAATAAGGTCAAGGTGGCATTAAGATAGTTTCAATTAGATCTTCATGTTTGATACCAAAGTTAAAAGATAATGTAATTGAGCCCCAAAAAAAAAAAAATTGCAAGGAATGTTGTGGGTTGGTACAAAAATAATTAGGTCAGCCAACAACAACTTTTTTATTATTATTATCGAAAATTGTCCATTCATCAATCACATTTAATAAGTATAGAATAATTTTAAACCTTTTATACTTTTCGAATCGAATAAACAAGTTTAAGTTTTATGATAGTAAGAAAGTAACGTAGAAAGCGAGATTCGAATTATAAACTTTTTTATTAAAAGTTCAAAATTCTTATCACTAAGTTACTCTTTGTAATTGTTCGATCAATAAAGCCAATATGTGAAAAACAAAAAAGAAAGATATAATTTTAGGAAAATCAATCAATTGTCTAACACCCAGTAGGGAAGCCATCATTCACCAACACATATTTAGTTTAATGGTAATGAATTTTTACAAAATATTGTGAATTTAAATCTTTTTTTTTCAATTATTTGATTTTTTTAAAAAATCTCATTAAAAAAAAAAGTTATAATACTCTTCATATTTTTATAGTAATATTCAATTCAATTAGTTATGGTGATAAAATTTTTATATCCTTCCCTACTGACTATTAACTGCAAATAATAATCTTCTGACAGCACAACCGTTGCTTGCTGCTTGCAAGATACTATGTCGTAAAAAGAAGTCAGTAGGGAAAACCAATCATTTACAGAGGGGAAAAAATTGAATTTTCTTAAAACATGCATGGGATCTCATCATTTAGAGAGGAAAAAAAATTGAATTTTCTCAAAACATGCATGGTATTTCATCATTTCTTAATTATCGATAGCGTGGGCGTGGCAAACTTTGCTTTCACCACTACATATCAATGAACTTCTTGCTTGTGGGCATCAATAATAGTGGACACAAAGGAGAGAACGCGATGACTTGGTGGTGGCCATTACTGACCTGCAACTGTCATGATTTTGATGTTGTCGAATGTGCTTTCACCACTACGTATCAATGAACTTCTTGTTTTGTCTTCCGATGCCGAAGTTTAATGATAATTACAATATTATTAAATGGGTTTTACATATATCAAAATCATCTATCATTTGAAATTTTTTATTAAGAACTAAAGTTTTTTATTTTTTTTTGTTTTTGTTGAATTTAAGAGTTCTATTTTTATATTGTTATTGTTTCGCATCATAATATATCACGTAAGTACACGTAACAAGCTCTAAATAATGATAGCTTCCCATGTGTAACGGTGTGTCCAAATTTGGTGATTGAATTGATGACGTGATCAGCTGTCATTGGTTAGAATTTATCATGTGTACTTACATGGTAAGTTGTCATTGAATAAGATTTGAAACAATAATAACATAAGAATATAACTCTTAAATTAGATAAAAAAAATTTAAAGTTTTAATAAAATAAATTTTGAATTATACTTGGATCTCAATATACGTAAAACCCATTATCAAAACCTCAATGTGCAATTTAAAACTAATATCTAGCCCTTATAAAGACTTTTTTTTCCCCCACAATTTAGAATGTTATATATACTCATTTGGTTTGACACTTATAGTGATATATTAAGTTAATTGCTGTCAAAAATATTTATAATTTTTCTTGAACTAAATATATTTTTGTATTGATAGAATTAGCATATTTTTGCTTTTATAATGTTTTTTTAGATAAGTGATAATCATTGCTAAAAAGAGTTTGCTTTTTACTAAAAGAAAATGTGAACAAAATTAGAGATTTAAAATCAAATTAATCAAAGAAAAATCTATTTTTAAAATGATTATAATTAAGTCGTTATGCTCCTCCTTTGCAGGAGTCTTATTCATAATTCAAAATGCCTAATTAAATATTTTGTAAACCTTCATACATAATGGTTTTTTTTCTCCTTTTCAATTTATTATAAATTTTTACTTTTAAAAATTATAAAGGAAAAAAATATGAAAATTATGATGAGAAAATAAGACATTTTGTAGAATAAAAACAATATTAAAACCAAGAATGTTCAAAGAATTAAATAATATTTTTTGAAACAAGAGGACTAATTAATCTGTTTATTAAAATTAGAGGGACTAATCTATAATTTACTGTAAACAAAATCTATTTAATTGCTTCTTTCGGTTTGCTCCAAAAATCCCATTATTGTATCTTTTGAGTTTGACTGAGCAGGATCCAAATCAGACCCCCTCCCTCGGGTTCTCCTCCATTATTAACGCTGATTTTCGGGTACAATAACATGCAGCACAAGGTACCAGTGATTTGAGCATCAGACAAAGACGACGACGTTCAGCAACGACCAGCGACCTTTCGTTGATTTGTAATTATTTTAATCTAATTATTCCGCCAATCAAAACCTGCGGAATTCAATCCCAATTTCGCTTAGTCTAAACCTCCATTGACTTTCCTCTCAACGCAGCCAAACAGAACCTAATAGGTTACCCAAACACGTGCCAATGATTCTATTTTCATAATCTTATCTACGCATACAAATGCTATGCTCCCTCTACAATCCTGTGAAAAAAAAAAAAAAAAGGTTCGCAAACCTATTGCTCTTAAGAAAAAAAATTCCATAGTTGCAAAATATTCCAAGTAAATTACATAGTTTACTCTTTCCCTTCCCATTTATTTTATTTTGTCAAATATGTTTATTTTGTTTCTAAATTACGTATTTAGTATTTTATAGTCATTTTGTCTTTTTCGAACCAAGTGTTCTCCAATAATTAATGATTAGAACTTTTAAAATAAAGCAAAAAGAAAAAAGAAAAAGAGAAATAGTTATTAGTTATTGAAGAATTCAAGGATAATGTCATTGACCCCAAAAAAAAAAAAAAATGCAAGAAATGTTGTGGGTTGGTCCAAAAAAAATAAGGTCTGCCAATAATTTTTTTTTTTAATAATTATTATCCAAAACTGTCCACCCATCATTCACATTTAGTAGGTATAGATTGATTTTTAACCTCTTATGCTTTTGTGATAGAAGAAGCAAGCTTGAGCTTTATAATAGTTACAAAAAGACGTAGAAAATGAGATTCGAATCTTACCCCTGTGCTATTATTTATAGTTGTTCGGCCAATAAATCTAATATGTGGGAAAAAAAAAACAGATATACTTTTTTAAGAAAATCAATCAATTTTCTAATACCCAATAGGGAACTCATCATTCATCAACACATATTTAGTTTAATGGTAATGAATTTTTACAGTTACAAAATATTGTGAATTCAAATCTTTTTTTTTTTTCAATTATTTGATTAAAAAAAATCTCATTGCAAAAAAAAGTTATAATATTCTTGATATTTTATAGTGTTATTCAATTCAAGTAGCTGTAGTCATACAATTTTTATCTCCTTCTCTACTAATTATTAACTGTTAATACTAATCTTCTTACAGCATAATCGTTGGCTGCTGCTTGTAAAGATACCATGTCGTAAAAAGAAGTCAGTTGGGAAGACGAGAGGAAAAAAATTGAATTTTCTTAAAACATGGGATGTCGAATGTGTGATATTTATGCATCGATTGCTCTGCTACTCTTTTTATTATTTTTTATTTTCTTATGAATGATATGGTCAATCCTTCCTTCCATCAATGTTCTCCGCTTTATTATGTGGATTCATCATCATATGAATGGACTTAGAACCAGTAAATTAGTATCCAAAACGTTTAGTTTTGTTCTTTGTGAACAATAATGATAGTTTCATTATTTATGAAAGTAAATATCTAGTTACATACACGGCAATTTGCCTAGATACAATAAAAACTTAGAGCATCTCCAATTATGCTCTTTACTTTTAGTTAATATTTTTAATATAAACAAAGAGCATTATTAATTATATATATTGAAGATCAATAGCATCTCTAATACTACTCTCTACTTTAACTTTTTATTTTGATAAAATCCATAAAACATTTAATTCGAAACTTTTTCTCCTTTTTTTTTCTTCGTTAATCTACCTCTATCTCGTTGGTAAAGAGGCTAAGTAGCATAGGAATTAGTAATTTTCAATAATGAAATATAAGATAAAGAATCATTTGAATTCCGTAGTATTGAAGAGCCAAAGACACTTCGTATCTCACTTTTAAAAATAGAGATTGTGATAAATAGAGCATTAAAGATGAAATTTGGGTTAAACCTCTTTATTGTAAAGAAAACCTCAATATAAGAGAGCATTGGAGATACTCTTAGAACAAAAAAATACGGCACCCAAAAAAAAAAAAAAAAAACTTGACCAAAGGTAAGGGATGGCAAGACAAATCCAACTAAAGCTAACCATACTCACCACCTCAAACTTATCCTTCTAAGAATTAATTTGATTGATAAATACTTTTATTTCTAAATAGTCATTTTATCTTACGATGCTGAAGATTAACGATAATTACAATATTATGAAAACCTCAATATGTAATTTAGAATTGATATCTAAATCTTACAAAGAACTTTTTTCTCTAACATTTAGAATGTTATACTCGTTTGATTTGACACTTATAGTGATATATTGAGTTAATTGCTAGAAAAAACATTTATAATTTTTCTTGAGCTAAATATATGTTTATATTGATAGAATTAGCATATTTTTTTGCTTTTATAATGTTTTTTTTAAGATAAGTGATAATCATTGATAAAAAAGAGTTTACTTTTTACTAAAAGAAAATGTGAACAAAATTAGAGATTTAAAATAAAATTAATTAAAGAAAAATCTATTTTTAAAATGATTATAAATAAGTCGTTATGCTCCTCCTTTGCAAGTGTCTTATTCATAATTTAGAATGCCTAATTAAATATTTTGTAAACCTCCACACATAATATGTTTTTTTTTTTTTGGCTACTTTTTAATTTATTATAAATATTTATTTTTTAAAATTAAAAAGGAAAAATATGAAAAGTATGATGAGAAAATAAGTTATTTTGTAGAATAAAAACAATATTAAAATTAAGAATGCTCAAAGAATTAAATAATAGTTTTTGAAACAAGAGGACTAATTAATTTGTTTCTTAAAATTGGAGGGACTAATCTATAATTTTCTCTAAACAAAATCCATTTAATTGCTTCTTTCAGTTTGCTCCAAAAATCCATTTATGGTATTTTATTATTATTTTAAAATTTTTTACGTTACATCCCAAACAAGAATTTTGACTTTGACTGAGCTGGATCTAAATCAAACCCTCCTCCCTCGGGTTTTCCTCCGTTATTAATGCTGATTTTCGGGTACAATAACGTGCAGCACAAGGTACCAGTGATTTAGGCACCAGACAAAGACGACGACGTTCAGCAACGACCTGCGACCCTTCGTTAATTTTCTAGTTATTTTAATTTAATTATTCCGCCAATCAAAACCTGCAGAATTCAATCCCAGATTCGCTTAGTCTGAACCTCCGTTGCCTTTCCTCTAAACGCAACCAAACAGAACCTAATATCTTACCGAAACACGTGCTAATGATTCTAATTTCGTAATCTTATCTACGCAAACAAATGCTGTCCATGTGAGGAAAAAGAAAGAAAAAAAAAGGTTCGAAAACCTATTGCTCTTAAGAAAAACATTCCATAGCTAGCAAAATATTCCGAGTAAATTACATAATTTCCTCTTTCCCTTCTCATCTATTTTATTTTGCCAAGTATGTTTATTTTGTTTCTCAATTACGTGTTTAGTATTTTATAGTTATTTTGTTTTTTCGTGACCAAGTGATCTTCAGTAATTAGTGATTAGAACTTTTAAAATAAAGCAAAAAAAAGAAAAAAGAAAAAAAGAGAAATAGTTACTAATTATTGAAGAATTCAAGGATATCGATTTATGTATAACAGTAGTTTAAAGCAGAAAAAGTATCATTTGTGAATAAACTATTCACATCCAAACTGATGTATTTATAAAAAAAAGTACTTATTTATGAATTCCTTTAAACCTTTAAATTATATATATATATATTATTTGATAATAAAAAATATTTTCAGATTAAATTGTATATTAATTAAAATTAAATTTATTTTCCAAACTATATGTTAAGAATGCGACCACGTCGGCTTTCTTTACAAAAGAAAAAAAAAAAGAAGATTTTCTAGCACCAGAAAATCAAATTTGATTTTTCTACTTCAAATACACCCTTCCCTAGATGACAAAATTCCCCATACAAGCTTGAAAATTCCAACCCCTACCTATAAATGCTTAACTCACAGCCAAACAAGCCCCATTTCCTAACCAAACATCCTTTCACTTTCCTCTCGTACCCGACGAAACCAAACTCCACTACTACTCTTTCATGGCAGACCCAAATTCCCAAACTACCCCACAAGCCCTCATCGACGGCAACACCCTCGCCGCCAAATCTCTCGCCGCCTACGGCATAACCCACATGTTTGGCGTCGTAGGTATTCCAGTTACCTCCTTTGCCAACCGTGCCGTGGCCTCCGGCGTTCGTTTCATCGCCTTTCACAACGAGCAATCCGCTGGCTACGCTGCCTCCGCCTATGGGTACCTCACCGGCCGGCCTGGTATTCTCCTAACAGTCTCTGGGCCGGGTTGCGTTCATGGGCTTGCTGGTTTGTCTAATGCCATGATTAATACATGGCCTATGGTGATGATTTCGGGTTCTTGCGATCAAAACGATGTCGGTAGAGGCGATTTTCAAGAACTTAATCAAATTGAAGCAGCGAAACCATTTTCGAAATATTCAGTTAAAGCTAAAGATATTAAAGAAATACCAAAATGTTTTTTTGAAGCGCTTGATTCTGCTGTTTCGGGCCGGCCTGGTGGGTGTTATTTAGATCTTCCAACTGATGTTTTACATCAGACAGTATCGGAATCTGAGGCAAATAGTTTGATAAAATCTGCTGCCGATGCTTTAGAAATTGAAAAGGGTTTGAAAAAGACTAGTACTGCAAGTGTGGAAGTTGAAAGGGCAGTAGATTTACTTAGAAATGCTGAAAGGCCATTGGTTGTGTTTGGAAAAGGCGCGGCTTATGCCCGTGCGGAGAATGAGTTGAAGAAATTATTGGAAAGTACCGGGATTCCATTTTTGCCGACACCGATGGGAAAAGGGTTGTTGCCTGATACACATGAGCTTGCTGCAAGTGCAGCGAGGTCACTTGCTATTGGGAAATGTGATGTTGCGCTTGTGGTTGGCGCAAGGCTTAATTGGTTGTTGCACTTCGGGGAACCGCCGAAGTGGTCTAAGGATGTGAGGTTTATTTTGGTTGATGTTAGTGACGAGGAGATTGAGTTAAGGAAGCCACATTTGGGGTTAGTCGGAGATGCGAAAAAAGTGTTGGAATTAGTTAATAAGGAGATTAAGGAGGAGCCTTTTTGTTTGGGGAAGAATCATCCGTGGGTAGAGGCAATTTCAGAGAAGGCTAAGGAGAATGTGTCAAGAATGGAGGCGCAGTTGGCTAAGGATGTTGTGCCGTTTAATTTTATGACGCCAATGAGGATTATTAGAGATGCGATTTTAGCAGTGGGGAGTCCTGCTCCGGTATTGGTTTCAGAGGGGGCGAATACAATGGATGTTGGCAGAGCTGTTTTGGTTCAGACTGAGCCAAGGACTAGGTTGGATGCTGGAACTTGGGGTACTATGGGTGTTGGTTTGGGCTATTGCATCGCTGCTGCAGTTGCTGAGCCTCATCGGCTTGTGGTTGCAGTTGAGGGTGACTCTGGATTTGGGTTCAGTGCCATGGAAGTTGAGGTATGAGCCTTTACTCATTACTACAATCATGTTTAAATTTTTCTTGCTTTTAACTTTTTGTGATATTTGATCGCTTCAACATTCTAATTTCATGTTCTTTTCTCTCTTTTAATTTTTTTTTTTTTTTGATACTGCACCAAGCTCTGTTTACTGCTCTTATTTTTATATGTATTCTAAAGGGATTGTCTTTGTTAGAAGATCTGAGAGTTTTTCTAATTGTTAGTAATTATAAACTCTTTTTAGGCCAATTGATTTTATTTATTATTATTATTAATTTTTTTTTTATATAACTCCTTTCAGAATAATGCAGATGAGGAGTTATTGTTCGTGTCATGCATAGCCATTTTTCTCCATATGATTTTGTCTGTATCTTTCAAATTTATCACAGTTAAGCTATTGAAGCTCAAGATTTTCACTGCACTTTTGACATGATAAATGAATTGACCTAGTCTAGTCATTTTACTAAAAGTCGTAGCGTGTTCTTTTCTTTTGAAGATTAAGATTAATAAAATACTGGACGAAAATAAGACGTTTCATCATAAAATTATCAGTTTTACTAAAAGTTGTAAACACATAGGAGATGCATCAACCACTTGAAAAGGAAAATTTTTGCGTACCAATACCTTTTTTTTTTTTTTTTTTTGATGAAAATCTGTTAGATTATGAAGAGAGCCATCTAGTTGATGGCAAAAAAGAAATTACTGAGTAGAAACAAAAGGACTATACCAATACTGTTTTAACTCCTTTTAATTTCGTTCCTTAAATATTTCTTTTGCAAATTGGAAACTGGAGGCTTTTATCTTGTGAAATCTCTTTATTATTGTCGCCTTAAAAGTTAAATATATATTGTTCTTTCTTACAAAAAGCACCATTCACATGCTGAGTAGTTGGGCTGTCCACGTGTCATCTAATGAGAGTACCGATTCTCTGTCTTCCATTTTCTAATCATTATTACTATTATATTAGACTATATATGTTACTCATCAAATGTTATGCAGTTCCTTGCAAAGGGTGGTTACCTTTAGCTAGTTTGAAGTTTATTTGGAATCAGAAGTTAATGTACATGTTTGTCTATGTTTCATTGGAAAAGGTGTTATTTTATTATTGAAGTTTTGTCTATGTGATGTGCTGGGTATGAAATTCCTTGATTGGTATACTTCGGGAATTTAAAGAAAACTAGCAGATTTATAGTATCAAGTCATGGCGTAGCTTATTTTATTACATTGGTCAAAGTACAATTGCTCTGTTGAGTATGAATTTTTATTGGAGTTGAATGTGGTTGTGTTTGCAAGATAGTTTGTTTTATTGACGTATTGTATTGACCTTTTTGGAGATGCTATATTTTTTTACGTTAGAAGCATACCTTTCGGAGGTGAAATTGGACAACCATTTCAGTAAATTATAACTTAAAAAGTTTCAAGGAATTGGAAATATTGCTCTAAAAACCAGTTGCATGCTGGTCTTTGAACAGCCTTTTTATTCATCACTATAATGTACCTTTTAGCAAGTTAGTGGTGTATAGCTTTTGACCAGTGTGTTTTCTGCATTCATGCAGCATATAACTTAGAATTAAAAGATTTTATTGGTTATTGGTGAAAATGAGTGCGGTGGTATGAAAGCATATATATAAATTTTGATCAAATTGCAATCGGTTTAACAAGTCTGCGGATGCCTTTGTTGTTTTCCGCCCTTATCTTGGTGGCTTTCTTGAGAAGGTTCATAAAAGCTGTCCTTTTATGAATTAGATAAGAAACAATAATGATAATAGTAAAGAAAAGATGATCCTCCTGTTGAAATTTTCACGTCACCCTTTTTTTTTTGCATACTTGCCTCATGACATGTATATAAAAAATAACAGGTTACATTTATATGTGAAACTTTTTGTAGACATTGGTTCGTTACCAGCTGCCTGTGGTGGTGATAGTTTTTAACAATGGTGGTGTTTATGGTGGTGATCGGAGGAACCCTGAAGAAATTACAGGGCCTTTCAAAGATGATCCAGCACCCACTTCTTTTGTTCCTGGCGCTGCTTATCATGTCTTAATTGAAGCTTTTGGGGGAAAGGGTTATCTTGTTGGGACACCTGATGAACTCAAGTCTGCCCTTAATGAATCCTTCACTGCTAAAAAGCCAGCTGTAATAAATGTCACCATTGACCCTTATGCTGGTGCAGAAAGTGGTAGGATGCAGCACAAAAACTGAGGTAGCGTTCATCCGTTTCTTTGTTGTAATCTTTACATCCTCTGGCTGAACTGGTTTTGCCCGATCCCGTTTAATAATGTAAAATCATGTGAGTACTGTCTGTTTCTGCTATTAGATCTTCTGCAGGCATGCGTGCAGAAGAAATACAAGTCATTCATAAAAGAATACTACACTGTCTTTTGTAGTATCCTGACACGAAATAGTACATTTTAGATTGTTTAGAAAGAGGAAAGAAGAGAGGTTTGGCAAGGACTAGGCTGTTTGTCGTTAGTTTGATATATGTTTATAGGATTGACATGCCAGTTATATAATGATGGCGATTGAATTAAGGGCTGGGTTCTCATTGTTCCTTCTTGTTTAGTTTTGTGTAAACAAATGGAAATATTGTAGCTAGTAAACCAGTTTGTTTAATGCCCTTGTAGGGCAATGCCTTGCAATGTAAGATCAAAGAAACAAGCTTTAGTGTTTCCTAAAAGTTGAACATGCCATTAGTTTTCGTTTTCATTTTCGCATCAACCATGGTGGTTGGTTTATTTGATATCGATTGAAGACCAGACTTCGTACTGATGGCATGGCAAATCAGCATTCCTTACAGTTCTTTCATTTTTCATTACTGGCTTTCTTAAATCTAGATTGTATGATCTACTTGTGTTGGATGCCTAATCACTCGTCTATGTGATAATAATTTGTTGTATGCTAGGGATCTCTTAAATTTTTAGACGGCAACACTAATCACGCACACACACGTATATATTTTGGGTTTTGAATGGACCATCTAAAAAATTGTGAGGACTATTTTCTTTTTTCTTTTTGGCTTTAGTAGACTTTTTTTTTTTTTTTTTTGGTTTTTGTTGGTACTAATCATTTCCTTGCAACCTGTTTTGGATTAGATTAATAATTAATAGATGGACTACCATAACAAATGGGTACTCTGTCTCCTTTTGCATCTAGGAAAAAATTCATAGAAATTCAGATCATAAAGCTGAAAAACTTCAAGCCAATGGAAGTCATGATAGACTATTATGTCTCGTAAACATAAAGAGGAAAAATGAAAAATCAAGAGCTTTTCTCGATTAGCTTGTGGAGTCCATGGTTCTTGTCTGTCTGAGTTTTGTCCATAGATTTTGTCATTGTCATTTACATGAGATCAGATAACGTGTTTGCTGACATTAAGAATCCAATGAAGTTAATTGCAAGATACAGAGTTGTCAAAAAATAAGACGGTTGATTAAACTGTGTGATCGATTAAAGATTTACAACGAGATAAGAGATTTAAAGGAAGGAAGGTGGAGCTGAATTTGGAAGACAGTCAGCACCACAGTTTTAAATAATAACGGCCGTTAATAAGCTGTGATTCATTTACGTTATATGATGGCCGTTATATAATGATTTTGAAGAATTCTATTATTGTTATTTTAATATTATAATAAACTGTGATTATTTTTTCAACTGTGTGCGATTTACGACAATCGGTCAACACGGTGTGGAGCCAGCAGCGGAAGAAATATCAATCAGGTGGCAACCCAACTAGTAGGAACTAGGAAGTGCTTAATAGCCCTGGAGGAGATCTCGATTTCAACAATCCTCTTCCCATCTCAAAAAACGAAGAAAAAAATAATGGAAGAAAATGCATGACTCTATGATGATAAAGCGTTACCACATTTGTGCACGCCCTCTGATCCCAAACGAAAAAGAAAAGAACCTTCATAGTTCATAAACATTAATAACAAGGATGGATGGCCCTTGAAAACAGGAAAAAAGGACACAAGTCCTTGCTGCAAGGCGACTCAAGTTTATAATTGTTGTGTATATCCTTGGCTTTGGCATTAATGGTTTGTTTCCTGCCTTGGTGTCCATCTGGTGGGTCAAGTCAATACCGTGTGGAACTAACCAAAATCATGAGAGACCACTGTGTTTAAGCTTAGGAACCCATTTCTCTTTTATGTTTCTGTTTCATTTCACTTCACTACTCAGGTGTGGGAAATAGTTAACTCTGTTGAGGGATTTGGTTCTTTTGAGAGATCATTATCTTAGGAGAGAGCATGGTGGATGCACTTCGTTCTGGTCTTGTCAGTACAATCTTGGGGAACCTGAATCCACTGAAACTCGGAGAGCTTGGAGTTGCTGGTGGCCTAAACGTTGAGCTCAAGAATCCAAGCTGTGCTCCAGGATGCAGGAGAGAATCAATGGAAGAGTGAGGCTGTGAAGAACTGGCTTAAAAAGCTCAAGGATGTGGCTTATGATGCTGATGATTTACTTGACGAGTTCGCAATTGAAGCTCAGTGACGTGTGCAGGAAAGAGGACTTAAAAAACAAGTAAGATCTTTCTTTTCTCTTGATCAGAATCCGCTTATTTTTGGGGTCAAAATGGCACATAAATTAAAGTGTTAGAGAAACATTAGATGCCATTGCTAATGAGAAAAATAAGTTCCACCTGAAACAGGGATCTGGAAATAGAGATGGAGAAAGCTTTCAGTGGCGACTGACCAGCTCGCTAGTGAATGAATCGGAAATTTATGGAAGATACAAGGAGAAAGAAGTGCTAATCTATATTGCTCTCCAATTCAGATGGTCTTGTTTATGCAATATACGGCATGGGGGGACTTGGAAAAACAACACTTGCGGGCAATTAGTCTTTAACGATGGAAGCGTAGAGAGACATTTCGATTTTAGGATCGGGGTGTGTGTTTCGATGATTTTGACATAAGGAGGTTTGCCTATTCTATCGAGTGCATTTTGACAGAGGTAAATGAATTCGATGGTTGTCATCCTTGGATGATCGTTTTAAGCTTAATATGGATGGTTCTTCTATAAATGGATAGTGCACTCGGTGGCACAAGTATAAATAAAAGAGCAGAACTTTTAACTTTGTGTGACGGTATTTTACTCGTCGGGAGCTCTCTCATAATAATGTTATTGTGGAGGCCGACTCAAAACAGATGGTTCAAGCTATTTTAGGACTCTCCTCCTTGGATTTATACTTTCCATATGAGCCGTTGTTCCTCTTTACCATGACGAATGGAATGTATTGAAGAATGCATTGAGATGTGGAGCGAAGGAGAGTGTTCTTATAATAACAACTCGAATCAAGGCAGCCGCTCTAAAGATGGCCACGGTTCCTCTTCACAAGCATGCGAGGATTGTCGGATAATGATTCTTTGGTCTTTGTTTGAGCAACGTGCTTTTGGATTGGAAAGGAGGGATGAGTATGTACATCTAGAATCTATCGGGAAAGCAATACTCAAGAAGTGTGGAAGGATACCTTTGGCGATCAAGGCAATGGGAAGCTTAATGCGCTTAAAAAGAAAAGAGAGTGAGTGGTTAGCCATTAAGGAAAGCGAAATGCGGGATTTACCGGATGAAAGGAGTACAATTTTACCGACCTTGAGGGTAAGTTATGATCATCTTCCTCTACATTTGAGGCAATGTTTTGCATTTTGCTCTATATTTCCCAAAGACTATCTTACGACTAGGGATCGATTGATAGAGATCCGGAAGGCGAATGGCTTTATTTCTTATAACGAGCATAGGGATTTGCATGCAATGGGCCATGATGTTTTTGGTGAATTAGTTTGGAGGTCATTGCTTCAAGACGTGGAGGATGATAGATGGGGCATTGTAAGATGTAAAATGCACGACCTTTGTCCATGATCTCGCACAATCAATTATGATGCGTTAATGCTATTTGAATGAGCGCGACAAAGAGTTGGATGTTCCTACTTCCTAGAAAGGTCCGTCATGTAGTCGTATATAAGAGATCCTTTCCAGTTTCTCCTACGAAGAAGCGTATCAAATTCCAATCAATGCGCTCGTTTATTTTGCTTAATAGCTCTAGTTGGATCGATGATCTTCTCCCCATCTTCCTCCAGCAAAAACATCCAAGAGCTTTGTGTATGTTTGGCTACAAGGCTACGAAATTACCGATCAATTGGTTGCTTGAAACATCTCGGGTATCCAAATGTCCCTTTCTCTTCCATCGAAGTTCTACAAGAATCATTCGAGCTTCCTCCAAAACTTGCGGACTCTTGACAAATTGTCCACCTCTTCATAAATTACCATAAGGCATGAAGCACATGAAAAATCTCGGATATCTTGACATTGAAGAAAGTGTACTTAGATGTATGCTCGTTGGAATTGGACAAATGACTTGCTTGCAAAAACTCTAGCGTGTTCGTTGTAGGAGAGGGTGAGGGTCATTGCATCGGGAAGGCTGAAGAGACCGAATGATCTTCCGGGCCATTTGAGCATTATCGGTCTTGAAAATGTTAAAATCTTAGCGGATGTCGAATTGCCAATTTGATACGGAAGAACACCCTCCAATCACCGAGGTTATGGTAGGGGCAAGATGAGCCGCAAAATGCCGACATATCGGGGAACTTGGAAAAGAGCGAAGAGATTCTTTCCGGCCTCCCAACTCCATCCAAATTTGAAGAAGTTAATCGGATATAGAGGTTCAAAATGTCCAAATTGGATGACGGAATTGCTACTACCAAATCTAGTGGATATCCGATTATCGCGGATGCCAACATCTTCCATCTTTTGGGAAACTTCGGTTCCTCAAGTATCTTGGTTTGTGGAACATGGATGCGGTGAAATGCATTGGCAGTGATATGTATAGAGATGGGGAAAATCCATTTGCACCATTGGAGAGTCGGACCTTTGACTCAATGCTTAGCTTAGAAGAATGGGCAATTGATTAACGGATCGTTATTGGACCTCACATTATTAGCAAAACAGGCCCATTCGGATCCGTTAAAAGTTTCTTTGAAGTCAACTATAAGCCCGGTTTAGTCGCCTCGGAATAGATAAAGACAGTCGAAGGGAAGCCATTGTCAATCCTTTGATTTCCACCAAAAAAAGAAAGAGAAAAAGAAAACGAGAGAAGAAAGCTATGGCTGAAGCAGTTGTTTCGCTCTCGTGAGTACCATAGTGGGCAACTTGAATTCACTTGGGCTTGAAGAGCTTGGACTTGCTAGGGGACCGTAGGTCGAGCTTCGGAA